TTTCTTTGTCAATCCCTGGACCCTTTTGGTGGAGGAGGCTGACCAGCCATGGGGTGCAAGCTCTGGCTTTGGGGTCTGCTGCCCACCTTCCCAAGGTTACTGCCCTGGGGTATCTCTCCCTGCACCCCAGCTTCTGGCGGAAGCGATGGCAGGAACCACCAGCAGCCCCGTTTGTCCCGATCCTGTCCCCTCCGGGTCCCCGGCTGTTGCTGAGCCTCTCCCTCCACCTGCAGCCCGGGCTCGCCATGTGCTGAGTGCTGACGGGTTCCTCATGTACCTCTGCTCCCCGGAGGGCTCCATCTTCAACCCCCGGCACCGTGTGCTGTGGCAGGACATGAGCCAGCCGCTCTGCCACTCCTTCATCTCCTCCTCCCACAACACCTACCTGATAGAGGACCAGATCCGGGGCCAGAGCAGCATCGAGGGCTACATCAGGTAAAGGCGCTGCTCCCTCCCGGCTGCCCTCCGGCCCCAGCACTGCGCCCCAGGCAGCTCCATGGGGCAAACCCAGAAGCTCCTTTGCCTCCTCCATGGTCCAGCACCCCTGTGGCCACGCCACGTGGTGCTCAGCAAGGGGGATACTGAGCCCAGCTCTGCCTGCCCTGCACGCAGTAGCATCCCCACCCTCGGTGGCTGTCCCCTGGTCCCTGCAGGGGTGGCACCCGCAGGCAGAGGGGAGGGCAGGGGCCTGGTGCCCTGGCTGGGCACGGGGTCCCAGGGGTGACCACCACCCGTAGGGCTCTGAAACGGGGCTGCCGATGCCTGGAGGTGGATTGCTGGGACGGGCCGAACGGGGAGCCCATGGTGTACCACGGCCACACCTTCACCTCCAAGATCCCCTTCCGGGAGGTGGTGAGCACCCTGGGGAAGTACGCCTTCAAGGTAGGGCACCCTTCCCCAGGGGCTGGCTGTCGTGGGTGGCCCTCAGCGGGAGGGGGATGAGGCTGCGGTTCGGGGCAGCGATGGGTCTCTGGAGGGAGAGCAGTGCTGAGGCTCACACGCCCGGTGCTGCAGCAGATCTGACCCCACTGTGGGCAAGGAGAGCGGCTGTGTCCTTCCTGGGGAACAGCACTGGGGGGTCTGGCTCACAGCCCTGCGCCGTGCCGGGGGACAGGGGCTCATACAGGCATGGTCTGCTGGGTGTGCAGGGGTGACACGGGGCCTGGGGGATGCTGTGGGGTGCGGAGGTGAGATGGGATGTGGGGAAATGCTGAAGGGGTGTGAAGATCTCAGGAGGACACAATGGTGCACAATGGGCTCCTTGCTGGCACTGACTGCACCTGGGCAAAGCCCTTGTGAGAGCTCCCCAGCCCCACCGAGGCTGATGTCCAGCTGTGCACGTTGCTCCCCAGACCTCGGACTACCCAGTGATCCTGTCCCTGGAGAACCACTGCAGCATGGAGCAGCAGGAGGTGCTGGCCCAGCAGCTCAAGACCATCCTGGGGGAACAGCTCCTCACCACCACCACCGACGGGCGCGTCCCCACCCAGCTCCCATCTCCAGAGGTAGGGACAGAGCGTGGCCATGCTGGGCATCGCTGTCCTGCCTGGGAGTGGGGTGAGGAGGTGACTTTTCTGTCCAGAGGATAGGTCACCCCTGTCCCAGCATCGTCCCGCTCTGCTAGAGCACTTGGGGACCCTGGGGACACACTGTCCTCGTGTTCGCAGGGGTCCCAAAGCTGTCTCCAAGGTTGTCTCCCCATGCTGTGCAGAGTCAGACAGCAGGGCAGAGTCCTCCTACCCCATCCCCTCCTGGGTGCTGAAGGGAGCTGGTGGCGGTGCCCCTCGGCAGCATGCGGTCCTGGGGGACAGCAAGTCCCATGGAGGAGATGGGCACCCCAAGGTGCTTGCCTCTCCATTCCCAACCCCACAGGAGCTAAAGCACAAGAT